CTCCTCAGGAATAAGAGTAGGACCCCCCTCATGCCCCTTGGGAACAAGGGTGTGACCCCCCTCACACCCCTCGGGAATGAGGGTGGGACCACCCTCACACCCCTCGGGAACAAGGGTGTGACCCCCCTCACACCCCTCGGGAATGAGGGTGGGACCCCCCTCACACACACTCTTGGGAATACGGGTGGGACCCTCGGGATAGCGGGTGGGACCCCCGACCCCCTCTATCCCCCAGGGGCACCCAGGCCGCTGTCCCTGCCCCTTGGGTGGGTCCCAGGCACCCAGGGAGGTACCGAATCCCCCTCTGGAGGCCTCGAGGGCCCTCCTGGTGCCGAGTGACCCCTTGGGGGGGTCCCCCAAGGCTCAGTGGGCCTTGTGGCGGGGCCGGTCGAGGCCGCGCTGGGCCGCGCTGAGCTGGTAGCAGGCGTCGAGCAGGAGGGCGCCGGGCACCAGCACCCACAGCCCGTTGATCCCCACGAAGTACACCCAGAAATAGAGGGGCCGGGGGTCGCTGTGGGTCCAGCCCGCCTGGGCCTCGGTGGCGAAGTACAGAACGTCCCCGTAGAGCTGCCCTGGGAGGGGGGGGACACGGGGACACGGGTCACCCCCCCAGGGCAGGGACACCGGGACAGGGGGATGGGGATACTGGGACATCAGGACAGGGGGATGGGGACACCAGGACAGGGATGAGGACACCGGGACAGGGGGATGGGGACACTGGGACAGGGGGATGGGGATATTGGGACAGGAGGATGGGGATATTGGGACAGGAGGATGGGGATATTGGGACACCAGGAGAGCAACGGGACAGGGATGGGGACACCAGGACAGGGGGATGGGGACATTGGGACACCAGGAGAAGAGGAGGACAGGGGTGGGGACACCAGGGGGAATGGGGCTGGGGGACACAGGAAGGGCTGTCACCCCCTCAGGGCAGGGACATCAGGGGTGGGGACACCAGGGATGTGGGGAAGATAAGGATGGAGACATGAGGACAGCAGGGCCAGGTGGCACAGGGCTGGGGACACCAGGCCAGGGGGCTGGGCCGTACCGAGGGACACGATGAGCTGCAGGACGTAGCGGGACGGGTGACGGCGCAGGAAGGCGAGGAAGGTGAGGAAGCTGAGGGGGCCCCAGGCCCAGGCAGTCACAGTCTCCATGGCCACCGTGAAGTCATCGCTCCTGGAAGGGGGCAGGGGACACACGGAGGGGTCAGCCCGGACCCCCTGGGGCCTTCGGACCCCTCCTCCCCACCCTCACACCCCCTCCAACTCACGTCATGTAGCGGCTGTCGGCCTTGGCGTACTCCTTCCCTGGGGACATCGGGGGGGCACCGGGGGTGAGGGGCAGGCAGGGGGCCCCCACACCCGCCAGGGGACCAGGGCACCTGGGGGACCCCAAGGCCCACTGCCAGCACCCAGGTGGCCCCCTCCCCATGTTTCCAGGGAACCTTCAGGGCCCCCTTGATGCCCCTGGGGACCCCTCCCCATGTTTCCAGGGAACCTTCAGGACCTCCCTCATGCCCCTGGGGACCCCTCCCCATGTCCCCAGGGAACCTTCAGGGCCCCCTTGATGCCCCTGGGGACCCCAAGGCCCACGTGTCCAGGAAACCTTCAGGGCCTCTCTGATGTCTCTGGGGACCCCTCCCCATGTGCCCAGGGAACCTTCAGGGCCCCTCTGATGCCCCTGGGACCCCTCCCCATGTGCCCAGGGAACCTTCAGGGCCCCTCTGATGCCCCTGGGACCCCTCCCCATGTGCCCAGGGAACCTTCAG